AGGCTGGTCTCGCTGGTAGGGCAGCAGGGCGAGAGCAGGAGACTCCGGTGCAATGGCTGAAGGATAAGAGAGCAATCAGAAGTGCCTTTTCCCTAATCCCAAACGCGCTTGTGAGGCAGGGGCTATGCCCAGAGATTTTGCACCGTGTGGCCTTGCTAGGGAATGTCATAAAGTCTAAAATTACAAAAGGAGGAAAGGTCCCTGCCCTGAAATGCTCACTGGCTATGTAGACATGGGGTGGGAGGTAAAAGAGGCAAAATGTAACACAGCAGGCTAAAGGTAGCACGGGAAATAAAATATGTATTTTTGTGTCAGCCCAGTGCCTTATGCCTGCTGCCCAAGTTTTTTAAATGATATCGAGCTGCTAGGACCATGAATAATTGTTTTTAAAGCAGGTTAACTGGTGGGTTTATGTCATATATATATATATATGAATGGGACAGAGGAGAATCTACTTCTCAAATAGTTATTCTGAAAAGGACATGAAAGCAGTCCATCCCTCCCATCTCACTACATATCAGCTGCATTATCATTGGTATTTTCATAACCAGTTAGGCTCAGACTATTCACGGGGGATGAAGGAGCCAGGGCCAGCTGGAGATGCAGGCACGGTGATGCCACCTGACAGGCTAAAAGCATCACAGTGTCCTTCTGGGACAGCACCACAATACAGCGACACAGACCTTGCCCATGCCTAAGGCCTCGCAAACAGAAAGGCTGGCTTGCACCTCCTTCATCCACCTTGCTAAGTCCCTTCATCGCCACGTGAAAGCACAGACAAGCGCTCAGCCTACAGCAGCAGGCTGTCTTTATCACTCAGCGTTTCACTTGATGCTGCAAAACCACAAAAACCTAGAGAGAGCGAGCGCAACAGTTTCAGGACTGTTTGCTCTCGGAGGTCCAAACTGAGGAACATCAAGCCTAATTTTCCTGGGCAGCCCCGGCTGTACCTCCATGTGTGGTCCAGCACAGATAAGGACCATGCTTTTGAGGCGCGTCTGCTGACGGCTGCCGCCGTGCCTTGGTTTGCCTCCTGGAGCAGTCTCAGAGCGCACAAATGGGCCGGGCACCGCGGCTTTCAGCCCCTGGGCAGCTGCGGGGGACAGCAGCACGGAGATGCAGCTTGCCAGCAGTCACGGCGGCAGGGGCAGGTTTGGGGAATGAGGCAGGCAGTGTTAGAGCCGTCCTTAGTCTGGCACAGCTGGGAGGCCTCAGGGACAAGCCCGGGGAGGGAGAAGAGGATGGGGAAGGAGAAGGGAAGCCCTAACCTAACTCTTGTACCCAGACACCCTTCCTGGATGCTACCACAGTTGCTCCCCTGCCCTGTTTCCTACTCGTGTCCATTCACAATCAGAAGGTAGCTAGAAAGCAAGAGTAACAAAAGCGACGTGCCCTTTTTGTGTCTGTCTCGAGGATGACATGCTCTAACTCATGCACAATTAAGTAAATCCTCTCTGGAGAGGAGACAAGGAAACCACACCTTCAGTCTAGGTAACAGGGAATATGATCTGCAGTTCCAGTGGGTGTCACAGGTGAGATGCTGATCACAGGCACCAAGGAAAATTAAGGAATAAGATTTCTTTACAGGTAGTTCTTTTGACACTTTACATCCAGTTGCTGAACAGTGAGGTCCCTAAATCAGCATTTTGGGGGACCTCAGGCCCTAATCAGGCCTCTAAATATGTGCGCTTTTCAAAACTAATAAGCACCCAGTAAGTCCAGTAGGATTATTCATGTCAGTTTATGCTCCTGGCATATAGTTATTAAGGACAAAAGCTAACACTAAAAGAGAAAGGTATACCACAGTGAGAAATGCTAATAAAGATGTTGTATTCTCATACAAATATATACTGCACACACGAGCATTTTTCTTCATATGTGTACAGTCTGAATTTGCCATCATTTTTCATCTGGCTAACAGTTAAACCATCAAGGCTTTTTTCTGCGGGTATACCCTTCTTATTATATCCAATTTCCAGGCTTCTGCTCTCCATGTGGTGCTGCTAACATGATGTGCCCCATCACTCATCTGCCTCAGCAAGGAGAGCATCCAGACAGTTGAGTTGGACACCACTGACCATGTTCCTCTTCAGACATCTTTTGACTGCAGTTTCCCACTGTGTTAGGGGGAAGGAAAACCATTCCAGAGGGAATGACATGGACCGCGGGGTATCTCAATTTCAAAGGTGGGCAAGGAAATGCATGCCGTCATCAGAGACTGACACACTTGTCCTGTTCAGCCCCATCTGGCAGGCTGGAGATGCTGCCAGCATTTACTCCCAGCCTTGTAGGTACAGCTAAGTGTGAGCAATTTAATAGTCTTGTACTGACAAGCTTGTTCCTGTAGTAAAATTATGCATGTGCCTCTGCAGGGAGGAGGAGGAGGGACAGGTAAGAAGCCAGATGGGTCAAAATAGTCATCACTTTCTGCAGCTCCACAATCTTCCCCAGCCGAACACTTGCTGTTCTTGGTGCACCTGTGCACACTTGCACACACGCATGCACACCTCTTCCCCTGACTGTTCCTGTCTCCCCGGGCTGGCTGCAGCCCTCACTTTGCCATGTGCTCCTGTGCCCCTGTTTGACTTGCCATGGCAGCAGGGTGGTACCCGTCCAACCTTCTGCTCTGACCTTCATTTCAGCCTGTGCGTTCACATAACACCACACGAGCAATTTTATTTTTCCCCGACAATCCCTTCCGTTTCTCTGAAGGTGTTGCTCACCACTGGAGGTGGGCAATAGCATTGGTGTAGGGCTCAACGCAGATTCCTCAGGGTTCATCAGCAGGGCCAGCACAAAATGCAGAAGCGGATGCACAAAGTGGGAAGCTAGGGGAACTCTAGAAACCAAGTTACTCCTAAAAATACCTCACCCCGAGGCAACATTGGAGGCATCACTTACTCCTTCTCCCCTCCAAGGCCCGGAGCCGGGCAGGCTGAGCATGGTGGACCTTGCACAGGCTGCTGTGCTGTTGGGTGCCAGGCACCAGGCAGCACCTTGCACGCTGACGGGATCGGGCCTGCCCGTCAGAGAGGCTCATGTGGCAGGTCCAGAGGACCGCCTTCCCCCCATAATCAGAAACCTGGGGTTCAGCCCCCTCCTCCACTCGGGGCATTTCAAGGCCACATCTTCCATGAGGCCACCCTCTTGCCAGGGAGGGAGGGAATGGTTTCTACCACTGGTCTCAAAGCTCAGGCGCTGGCTCACTCTCCATGCTGACTCTGGGCAGCTCTTTCCTCCACACCCCCTTCCCTCTGGACCCCTTTTAGCAGTGCCTGGCTGGCCCACACACAGACACAGGGCCCAAGCATCCACTCAGTGCTGCGACAGAAGGAACCAGCATGTTCAAGACGAGCAACGTCCTGATGCCAGAAGCTGCTAGCTGCACAGCTGCAGCCTGCCCAGCCTGATGGGACCTTTGTTTTCCAAGATTCCTTTTGATGAACAGCCTGGAAGCCCCTGATGGTGCTGCTGCTGGTTGGGTGTGACATCATGGGGCAACGCCGGGGCAACGGGTGCATTGTGACCTTTGCGACCATCCTTCACGAGTCTTGAGATGCCAGCATGCAGCACTTCGCAAATCCGCTCCTGAGGCATGTAATCTACACGGGCTGCTTTGATGCTGCTTCCAAGAGGCAGTGCTTGCAGTATTTAAGAGCTCTGAGGACAATGCAGCTTAATGGTTTCAACACTGTTTTTTTAGGGGAAACACATATTCCAGAAAGTCTTGTAACAGGAGAAAAAATAGCCAAGGAGGCCAACCTGCGCTGGCCAGTATGGACACTTGTTCACGCAAGCAGCAGCCAAGGGTGGGTGCCCTGGAGGTACAAGCTGCTATTAAGGGATGATCTGCCCATCCATCAGCAGAATGGTATCTTTCAGGAGTTGTGTGATTCTCTGACCGCCTCCTATGGGAAGTGCGTAATTGTGACAAGGGATAAAACGCAGCCGATGCACGTGGGGGCAAAAGATGGCAAGGAGCCAGAGACAGGAACTCTGCCACCAGTCCCACCAGCGATCTACATGTCCGGCATTGAGTTTTGCCCAGAAGTTGCTAGAGCAAATGGCCATGAGTTTCTTGTTGTACCTTCATCTTACAACTATCTCTATCCTATGGATGTTGCCTGGTCTTGTTTGAAATGGTTTATTATAAACAACAGGAAGGACTTTGCCCTGAGGTCTATTGAGAGGACCCATTCCTACAGGTGTATCCTCCTCAGTGACTTGATCGTTAAAGGAATAGAGAAGATGACCCCAAACAAATGGAAGATAACGATGAACAGAGTGAAGAGATGGGAGAACTACTACCTTGACACACTTTCTTAAACGGTTCTTCCTGCAGTCAGGCCTCAAATGTGTTTTGATTGGTGTTGAATGAGTTACCGTGCTCCAGCTCTGCTGAGCCCTTTCCTTTCCTTCAAAGGGTGTAAACCTAAAGAAACACATGTCAATAGCCCTAATAAAAGAGATCGTTTAAAATCCCAGTGTTTCATTTTAGGTGTATTCCGGGACTAGGTTGATATGTACTATGCCGCAAAGGGACAGTTAATTTGCTGTATCACAAAATGGGCCAAATCATGCCTAAGATCCAGTTTAGCCAGCCTTCTGCATAAATTCCTCTGTCATGGGAGTCATGAGACCATGCCACAGATGTAAATGCCCTCAATTTTGAGAAAGACTGGGCTGCAAAATGAATTCTGCAGGTCAGGCCTGTCTTTGACCCAAATGGGAGATCTGCTCCTGAGCAAGGAATATGCTGGACTGTGACTGATGCCAGAGTCCACAGCTTAAAGAAGACTGAAGAATTTAATGCAACTTTCCTATAATATACGCATTAACATCTGCTATCAGCTCAGTAGTTCATTACACCAAGTACCTTGCTTCCAACAGTAGTCTGCAATAAACATTTCAGTGACAGGTAAGAGAAATCTTTCTAAAAGGGAAGTTCCTTTCTGAAGCCTAACCATTAGTAGTTGGTTCAGGCTTTAAAGCATAAAGAGTTCAGTCTCCAGGATACAATGTGGCACTAATCACTGGAGTTCTTCTTTATCTGTGACATGGATTACTGAGATGTAATGATTTCTCACGGAGTTGAGTTCAAAAGATTATTTATGAGTGATGCAAAGTAGTATTTCTTAACAGCAGTTTTTTCAAGTTCATTGAACACTTTCTCGTTTTTTTGAAAGTGGCTTCCAATTTACATTCTCTGTGTTGCTCATTACTGGCTAACTGTTTATTGTGTACTTCTAAGAGAACTAAGACCATAAAAACATAAAAGAGATAAGTTATGAGATGATTCACAGGTTCACTAAAACATTTCAATACACTGAGGCAAACGTGTGCAGTTTTTCTCCTGTGTGTGGAAACCATCTAAACAAGCATTGTAATTTGGTGTGGCAGAGAGGTATCTAAAAAGGGGAGTCTCATCTACCTTGAGAAGAACGCACACATGTAATTTTCTAGAGCTGAGATGTGAATATGCAGAGAAAAATAACCATCTTTTCTCAGATTCATATTCCTCAGCAAAAACATCTGCTCAATTTTTACAAATATGGGTGTAGCAGAGAGTGGAAAATTAGGTGC